GGGTCTTTTTTTTTTTTTTTTTTTTTTTTTTTTGGCATGTGTCAGCTGGCAATCCTGGCGGCAGTGTGTGCCTGCTGCAGCTGTCCCACCTGCACTGGCAAACGGAGCCTGGTGGGAATGAGTGGGGAAACAGGGAAGGTGCTGCAGGATGCTCTTAGCAGCTCAGGTCACCTGGCATGCGGCTGGATGTGTAAAGGGGATGTACTGTTCCCTGTTATTTTAGCTCCCTCCCTTCACATCCTCTTGCACTTCTCCTACCCCACCTAAAAAGAATTAATTGGTGGGAATGTCTTAGTTGAGCATTTGCAATTCACGTTATCTGAGAACCCTACCTACCCAGTTTGTGCTTCTTCCTGCCAAAACCCTGCCAGCTTTGCTGCAGCAGGGTTTGTTCCAGCCATGCCTCCTCTTGCCCCTGGCCTAATGCCAGCTGCAAAATGCTCATAGCACAGAAATGAGGTCACTGCCGTCTGCACTTTATTTTCTACCCTCCTTTTCCCCTAAAGCTGTTAAAGACAACCTACAGTCACCTGTAGGGCTCTGCTCACGCTGTGTCAGTTCTGCTCATCGCTTTGGGATACAGCAGAGACACGTATGTGTAGGCTAGTGCTGGCAGAAGGCAAGGGGAGAGAAAGAAGGAGAGAAAGAAAATGGGGGTGGAGGGCAGCCAATGCTAATACTGAAAGCTCATCAGCTTCTCTGTCACTTCTCTACCATAGGAACACATGTTCTGCAAAGGCAAAACTTAGGTAGGGAACACCTTTCTACAGACCCAGCCCAAAACACAATCAGATACTAAGCTTGTCAAGATTTAGCCTTTTCCTTTCCAAAAACAATATATTCCTTGAACCTTGCACTTGCTAATGAGAGTTGTAAGCACATCACAAAATAAAAAAGGAAACAGAAAATGTGTCACATACAGTTTTCTTCCCTCAAGAGGAAGAAAAGTGAGATGGTAAAGAATGGCACACGTCAGAGGCTTGTCACAGGATTTTCTGCACTCCTGGAAAGAGCTTAGCTCTCATAGCGTCAGACACTATGTGGGAGCCCCCAAAAACCAGCTTTTTTTTCTGCAAAGTTAGAGCCAAAGATATTCGTGCTTTACCAGCAGTATAGCTGCACTGACTGCAGAATTAGAAACGTTATTTTTCTACCCACATCACTGCCTTGCTAGTGCAGAACACCACCAATGTTTAATCCCTGCCCAAACCATAATAACAATAATAAAAAGCATCCGTAAAAAAAAAATAAAAAATGTTCCAAGCTAGACTCTAGCCCATGCTCCATGTCGAATGGACAAGCTCTATCTCTATATTTAGAAAACACCTTTGAAGTGGGTCTACTTTTCCTTGGCTACCACTTCACTGATAAACCACTAGCCTAAACAGCCTCCCCAGACTGCACTGACAACAGGTCCTAGGCTTTCTATTTGCCTACACATTTCATATTTATGGACCAATTATTTTACGCACTTGTTGTACATTGCATCAAGAATCAGGCAGGGATTCAGACTGCAACAGGAAAGTGTGGAATGAGCATCTTAACAAACACCTGATTGTGTTTAGCACATTTGCCTTCCTTACTTGGGTAAGTAGTATATAGTGAGTAACAGTAGCAGAGCTGGGGCAAGGAGAGGGCTTCTCTAACTGACACTATATTACCTAGTCACTTTTAGGTAAAGGCGGAAAGGGACAAAGAAGGAGAGGATATGCTGGGAGTACAGCCAGTTAGTTCTGTGCTACCAGCAAGTACCAAAACCAGCAGCAGCGGAGCAGGAGCCCAGGCATACCAGTACTTGCTCTCTGAGTAATGAGAACAGCTCTGATGGTATCTCCGTCAACAAACACATTTTCCCTCCTTTCCTCCTCCCTTGCCCTACCTCCTCCCCCAGGGTGCAAAGTTCATCTGTGAGTAAGCTACTGTGAGGGCACAAGGAGAGGGGCAACCCCCTGCAGGAGGGAGATGGGAGCTAGGGTGCTCCTGGGTGTTAAGTCAAATGAACAAATCTAAACCTTGCCCGTTCCAGCTCTTGGCCGTTTAATTTCGAAGAAGTTTCTGCTTGCCTTTTCAGACTCGGTGTGGGATTATCACCCCTGAGCGGCAGCGTGGGAAGGCCAGCAGAGACCAGGGCACACGGGGGAGGGCAGGACTGCACCCGGGCTTGTCTCCTTGCTGCTTCCTTACAAACCAGGTGTCCCCATAGCCCAGAACCTGGCCAGTGGGCACAGCATTCCAGCCTCCCCGCTGCAGTTCTGCTGTGCAGAACACAGCACAGGCAGTCTTCCTCCTGCTCTCAGTCTCCTCCAACTATTAAGCAGCCCATTTGTGCCTACATTGAGGTTTTTAATTGCATAATTATGCTAGTGGTGAAGTGTGATTTTTTTTTTTTTCTGTCCCTGATGGTGCTTTGTAGTTCAATGGGCTGATGTGCAGACGCTGAGAAAAGCATCCTTAGTGTGGGATGTCTCTGGAGTCCTAGAACAAATGCTGGCTATATCATAATCTTCTTTTATATTTTCTCTTTGCCTGTGGCTTCTGTTTATTGCTGCTTTGGAAGGTGAGCCCTCACCGTTCAGCTGCAGCAAGGGAACAGAAAAAGGAAAGCAGCAACATGTCACTGGTACAGGCTAACAGCAGCCTTGGAAATGCAAGGATTGCATTGTATGTATGACAGGATCTCAGGGCTGAAGGTTGCATATGGCACCCCTGTGACAAAGCAATAATCACCTTTTCAAGCTCAGTCAGTTAGGTCTTTTTTACTGTATGCACGTGATGTGATACATGCCAGATGAAGGAACAAGTCTTCACCTTGAATATTCTCTCTGTGGCATAAGCAGACAAAAATAGCCTTCATTCCCCAGTTGCAGTGAGTAAGGGAAATGCACACTCAGCCTGGACCTCATAAGCAGGTTCCTTCACTACCCCATTTTTGGAAAGTCCCACGTGGTAGTGGGAAGCAGTCCTCCTCAATGACATTTTCTTCAGCTTCACAGGTTGTTCTGGAGGAAATCTCAACGGCTCTCTGCAGCAATAACTCTGCTGCCTTTCTTTGCATCCCCACTCATGGAGAGGGTGGTGGGTGAAATTAGCCACGACAGAGAAAGGCTCTTAAGGAATTTGGATAGGTCAGCAGAAGTGGAAAGCCAGGACACACACTGCAGCAGTACATGCATTCTGCGTGATAAACTGAGATTTGCAGCGTTACCCTTTGCTTCCACTAACACCTGGTCTCCGATTTTTTTCAGCTAGAACTTTCAGCCTTGAAGCTGCCGGGCAGAAAAGGACCTGGGGGTGTTGGTTGACTGTCGGCTGAACAGGACCCAGCAGTGTGCCCAGGTGGCAAAGAAGGCCAACAGCATCCTGGCCTGTGTCAGGAACAGCGTGGGGAGTAGGGCCCGAGAGGTGATCGTCCCCCTGTACTGGGCACTGGTGAGGCCTCACCTTGAGTACTGTGTCCAGTTTTGGGCTCCCTACCATAAAAAAGACATTGAGGGGCTGGAGCGGGTCCAGAGAAGGGCAACAAAGATGGTGAGGGATCTGGAGAGTAAGTCTTATGAGGAGAGGCTGAGGGAGCTGGGGTTATTCAGCCTGGAGAAGAGGAGGCTGAGGGGAGACCTTATTGCTCTCTCCAACTCCCTGAAAGGAGGGTGTAGAGAGATGGGGGTTGGTCTCTTCTCTCAAGTC